ATGAACAGAGTTCGTTTGTTTCAACATGGCTGAGCAATGGCATTAGAAAAATATGGGATAACTTAGTGTTGGCTTACGCCTAGAACTGAAAGCGACATACTGTCGCGAGGCGCTTTTAGGGTAGGGGTATACTTCTCAGATGTCGTAAATTACTTTAATCTTTTCGAGAATGGCAACTTCTGTATAGTAGGCGAAGACACAGCAGAAAGAGTAAAGGAGGAGCTTGCTTCATGTGGTTGATTCGACTTCGAAAACGAAGGCGAGGAATTTTGAAAACACCTCAAATGCATTCGCTATACAATAGCCCGGCACCATTACGACTTGAAAGCCTGGGTTCTACCTCAGCAGCCTTCTCGATTTCTATTTGGTATCGCGACCAGCGCTTGTACCTCCGTCTTCTTCGGCACCATCGCAGGATGAGTGGCTCAGCAATGTCGTCACCTACGAAACATGCGTTCTACTCAAATTCAAGGATGCAGCCATGCATGGATAATGGTGGGTGGTTGCATGGTTGCGCTACAACCGGAGTAGGGTTTGAAACTGCATTAAGAAAAATTGACGACGTTCTTGGTGGGATGTAAATGAAGTCATACTAACGGTGTTTCACCTAATGCCAATATAACAGCGACTTCTACGCCGAACAGCTGCAGCGTTTTGAACGCAAACATTCACAATGTGCAAAAGTTCAAAATGACTAAACCAACTTGTGTTGCAAAATGACTTGAAAAAATACTTGATACAGATACGGAATATTTCACGCAATAGGAGTTGCGACATCTTTGTTAAAAAGGAGTTCTTACTCGCAATCGTATAACAGAGGAGATCGTAAGCTGCCAATACGTTGGGAAAGGGCTGTTAATAATTATGGTAAATACATTTTGAATCAAGGTTTTACATTATGACAGATTGAAAGAGAAGATCAAAAATAAGAGAGATTTTAGAGACTTCGAAAGGAAATTTCAAAAAAAAAAACATCTCCCATTACAATTTTTTTCCATTCCGCTTTGTCCTAATCATCTGTGTTTTATAGATAGTAGCAAAGAGAAGAGCTAAAATGA